TTCTTCCTTTACGAGGGGCTATTGTCACGAGAAAAGAAAAAGGTTTCAGTTTTGTTTTTGCATGTAGTTGTGATAAATTCATGCCAAGTAAAAATGTCCATAGTCATATTTTATGTTCCTAAAGTAACAGAATGACTTTCAATCTAGAAAAGACAAAAGAAGTGCTAATGTAGCATTTTTTTTCAATTTTTCCGAAAATTTCCGTTTCCCCCTGAAAAAAACTAGAAAAAACTGGGGGTTTTTCCGAGCTTCAAAATTTCCAGAAATTTTACATCTCTAGTCACAAGTAGGCTGCGACTTGACAACGAAACCACCACCACTACCATCTTAAAACACTAAGTTAGTCATTTGTAGCATGCAGATAGCCTGAAAGAAAACTGGACCAAATTTGCTTCTAGCTTAGAAAAGATTCTCTGGAAGCCACTTCACACACGTGTCAGGAACACAGAGGAAGTGAAGGTATCCTGGAGAGTTGTGCATCACCACCAAGTCCACAGTTCAAATGTCACTTCAGCCACATATTCATGTGGTGGCTTTAGACAACCTCTTGTCTCCAGTATGCAACGGTAGTCAGTGTGGTGAAGTGGTTAGTCCAACACGGCCTAGGATCTAGAATCACTAATAGGGTAGTCTCGGCTACAATGCTGAGCAGGAATAGCTGAACTTGTGATTCAGCAAAATCATTCATTCAAGTTTGGACCAAGCGCTCACCATGTTAAACGACAGAGGTTGTCCGAATCACACGCTCCAAGAGAGAATTTCGCACAGGCACTGTACATTTGATCCCAAGCCTGAGTTCACAAGATCTTATTAAGATGGGTAGCCGTGTTAGTCTGTCTGTAGCAGCTGAGAAGAGCAAGAGTCCAGTAGCACCTTAAATACTAAAAAATAACTGTGGTAGGGTATGTGCTTTCATGTCACTGCTCACTTCATCTGGTATCTGAAGAAATGAGCAATGAGTCATGAAAGCTCGTAGCGTACCACAAATTTTGTTAGTCTTTAAGGTGCTGCTGGACTCTTGCACTTTACAAGATCTTGCATGAATTCAAGAGCCAAGTCTCTTGAATAACTGTGGGACTTTTTAGAAAAGACCCTCTGTGATGTAAAGATAATTCTAACGTGGCATGATCTATATGCCACCATCCCCACAAACATGTTAGAGTTTTTAAAGTTACATGGTCAGAAACAGAATGCTGAAGATGGACCTTTGTTCTGATGCCACAGCACAAGTCTTAATGATTTACTCTTAAAGACAGAGCAAGTAATCCTAAAACACACCCCTACAAGAGGCCGGGGGGGGGGGGGGGAGGTGGCAAGTAAACCTAAAACCCCCCCCCACAAAGGGGCGGGGGGGGGGGGGAGAAGCAGACCTCGCCATCAGTTGTGGCTACAGCGAAAGAACTAGGCTTGTTGAATGATAAGGCTATTCCTGGCCAAGGAAGCGGTTTGAGGCTCTT